CTACCTCTGCACCCCAAGTGCTGGGATTACAAATATGCTTCACCACACCCAGATGAGACACCCTGTCTTTATAAATAAGGTGAATGACACCAGAGGAATGGCATTCAAGAGGTTGTCCTCTGTACCCCCTGCCCCAAATAGGAACACATATACACACACACACACACACACACAGAGAGAGAGAGAGGGAGAGAGAGAGAGAGAGAGAGAGAGAGAGAGAGAGAGAGAGAGAGAGAGAGAGAGAGAGAGAGAGAGAGAGAGAGAGAGAGAGAGAGAGAGAAGAAGGAGGAGGAGGAGGAGGAGGAAGAGGAGGAGGAGGAGGAGGAGGAAGAGGAGGAGGAAAGAGAAAAGAAAAGATTCAAAGTGAATGGTGGCACTCACTAGCCACAAGTTTACACAGCATCAGTTGTCATATTTTGACATCCAGCCAAACCAAAATGAGTCCAGATATGGCAGCACACATCTTTAATAGCAGCATTCATAAAACAGGGGTAAGACAATCTCTGGGATTTCAAGGCCACCCTGGCCTACCTAGTGAGGTACAGACCAGCCAATGGCTACATAGTGGGACCCTGTCTCAAAATATAACACAAACAAACAAATTTCTTCCTTTGACAGCCTAAGTGATCTTTGGACATTTAAATTATTTGATATTCACCAAGAACTTTATTTTTAAACTATTTTAATTACACATGCTTATGTGTTGTACATATATGTTTGTGTAGACACTCATGCCAGGGTGCCACATAGAGATCAGATTCTCTCCTTCCACCGTGTGCTGTCCTGGGATCGGACTCAGGCTGTCAGTCTTGGTGGCAATGCCATTACCTGCCGAGCTGTCTCACTGGTCCCCTACTAGCCTTTTCTAGATTGAGATTGTACCTAAGAACTGGCTTGAAGAAATTCAGTTTGTTTTCCTGAGTCCGTGTCACATGCCAGGCTTCATTGTAGATCCTAGAACTCAGCCATGAAAACACAGAAGCTCAGATTCCAGTTGGAGAGATGGACAGCCGCTAGTAAGGAATTGGAATGGGTGTCTGATGGTGGTTAAGTGCTATCAGAGACTGAAGCAGAACAAGAGAGGTCTCTTCATGGTCAAGGAGGCAGAGTCCAGGGAGTGACTTCACACAGGGAGGCCTTGGTCAGGAAGTATGCATCTGGTATTTGTTTGAGACAAGAGCCCATATAGTCCATATTGGCCCCAAGCTCACTATATAGCAAAGGATGACCTTGAACTTCTCCTCCTACTGCCTCTACCTCCCCAGTGCTTGGATTGTTAAGTATGGGCACCACCAGACACAGTTAATGTGGTAGTGAGAGTCAAATCCCGGGATAGACAAGCACTCCACCCCAAACCTAGCATTCGCTATTTCTTTCTCTTTTTTTATTTATAAATTTCTATTTAAATTAGAAACAATCTTATTTTACATATCAATCCCAGTTCCCTGTTCCTCCCACCCTCTCAGTCCCCCACCCCACCCACCCCACATCCCAGACATCTGCTTTTTCTAGCCATTCTTTCTTCCTTTCTTCTTTTTCTTTTCCTTTTCCTTCCTGGCTCTGCAGGGAATCAAGCCCAGGGCTTCAAGCAGGCTAACTATCTATTCTGTTACTGAGCCACACCCCAGCCTCTCTGCTACTTCTAAAAGAGTTTGAAAGCCCTCAAAGGACAACACGAATCAGAAACCCAGAGAGAATAGAACAGCAAGAAGGGTTATGAAATGAATAGAGCCAAGAGACAGAAAGGTCTGTATAAGCAGGGGCCGGGGGTTTGGGAGTGGGAGGTGGGCAAGTCAGGGTTTGTGAGAGGAGTTTATACCATCTGAGAAGGAAGTCCAGGCTAGCCCAGCCAGGAGGGTAGGTGAAGGGAACAGACATTCAATACGGAGACACCTCTGTCCATAATTAAAATTTTGTTATAGAATCACCATGGAGTTCTTTTGCATGAACTTTGACTTTTAAAAACTCAGTCTTATTATGTGTGGTTACTGAACTATTTGGTGCCCTCTTAAATTTTGTGCGAGGTTCACCCTAGCCTTGGCCCTGGGGAGCGAGTTTGTGCAGACATGGCCAGAGTCCTTGGAGGAAGGGCTGGCTGAGTCTTCAGACTTGACTCTGTGGTCAGTACAAAGGCCACTGAAGGATCTTAAGCAAATAAACGATATAAGCGAAACGCCATTTGGGGATGAGTGGCATGGAAGCCGTGGAGAGATGGGGAAAGAGGGCAGAGAGCAAAGGGCAGTCAGGAAATACACAAAGCAGGCTGAGCCTGAGGCACTGGGCCAGAAGCAGCCAGTACAGAAGGAAGCTGGCTACCCCCTGCCTAATTCAGGTCTCTGCCTGCCCTGCACCGTGTAGATAGAACTCAGCATTCTCCCACAGCAGCCAGACTTAGTAGCCGCCAGCCTCTTGCCTCCTTCTGTTTTTACTATGACTAATTTGTGAAAAACAGGAAGTGCTACTGTGACAGTGGCATTATTTGTGGCTAAGAAGTGAACTTTTGAAAATGGCAAACTCTGGGTCCCTTGCACACAAGCTCACTTGTACAAACACTCCCATGGGGTGGACCCTGTTCCAGCAGGAACCATTATCTCCTTGGCTCTGACATTAGAGGGGACTCAAGAGGGGCTGTATTCTCAGGACTAGGGACAGGCTGCTTAGCCATTCAAAAGTCCCAGAGGAAAGTGAGCATAACATGGAATGGTGAGTGGCTGGCAGGTGCCAGGCAATAGGAAAGCAGGAAGGTTTACAGGGCGGGTACAGGAAGCCCTGCCCTGCCCTCAGCTTTGGCCCTACAGTTGCACTGTCACTGGAGGTATTGACTGCTAGTTGGGAAAGCCTGGAGACAGAGGAAGATCACAGTATAAAGTAGGCAGCAGGCTGGGATTGGTGGTGGTGTGTGTATGGTGTTCATATGGCAGAGAAGGGAAGCTCTCTGGTTATTTCATCTTATAAAGGCACTAACACCATCAGAGAAGGGCCCACCCTGCCCTCATGACCTCAACTAGCCCTAAGAAGGTCCCCCAAATTCCATTGCATTGAAGATTAGTGATGATTTAAACACAGGAATTGGAGGGAAGCAAACTTTTAGCCCAGAACACCAGAGGCAAAGATGACTGCTTCTAGAAGGTTCCTATCTAATTAGGTTGAGAAACACCTTTGAAAGGAAAAAAAAAAAGTCTTGAATTCCTGTCACCCACTGAGTCCTCCTAATCGCCTTTAAATGGAGAGCATGCAGCTGTTACCAGATTTCAATGCTTTTCCGTCTTTGCCAGGGAGACTTCGAGACAAACTCACTTGTGCCTCTCCATTCTCTTGACTTCAGCAATTGCTTCTCTTGCACAGTGTGCTCTGACACAGAGTGTTGAGCTGTTTTTCTCTTTCAGCGCTTATACCTCCATCGCATCCCCCAAAGAATCCAACTGTAAATGTTTGGCATTCTTTGCATCTCTGGTCAGCCACACAGTTTGCTTTCTGAGGTTCTGAATCTCATCTTTGGGCCTATACAGAAATGGAAAGGGCATGCCTTGGGCCTCAGATATTTGCTTTTTGCAAGCTGTCTCCTCCTGAGGAGAACAAGTTAGGAGTGTTCTTACAATTTAGATATCTAATCAAATGTTTACAGATGACGATGGCTTAGCTGCTTCAAATGTACAACTCGGTGGCATTAGGTACATCCATAGTGTTTCACAACCATCACCACTATCCACTTCCAGACCCTTCCATCCTCCCCACCTGAAGCTCTGTGCCCATTAAATGGTAACTCGACATTTTCCTTATCTACCTCTTGCTATCCACAGCTTTACTTTGTCCCAGTGACTTTGCGTGATCCAGGTACCTCATTACAGGTAGCATTCTAACTCAGTCTCCTTATTTCACTGGCTAATTCCACTTCATACAGTGCCTTTGTCTTTGTTTATTTACGTTGCTATAACAAAATACCATAAGCTGGATGGCTTGTAAACAGCAGAAATTTGTTTCTCACAGTTCTAGAGACGGGGAAGGCTAAGATCAAGGTGACAGCTGATTCGACATCCAGAGAGAGTCTATTTGGAGGGTACAGATGGTACCTTCTCACTGTCTTAACATAACGAAGGGCAAGGTATACCTGTGCCAACCCCCCAGGAGGAGAAGAAGCTAACCAGATGGAGGAAAAGAATGGAAAAGTGACCCAGGGAAAGACACACCAAGCCTGCCACCAAAAGACCTGCAATGCGCTTTAGTGTATGATTTGTGCTGAGGCAGGGTATGAGGCTCAAGAGAGATAGGGAAGGTGAAGTCCCAGGGGCAGGCTAGGACCATCTGCTGAAGAACCTTGCATGATTGGGATTAATGCTGGGTCTGAAGGGGAAGTCCTCATAGTTTTGAACCAAGGGAGAGCAGAATCTGTTCTTCCCTTGCAGGAGGCATCCAAAAACAAAACAAAACAAAAAACCACAGGCCCTGCTATTCGAGCATTTTCCAAGTGCAGAGATGGACTGGCCTAGCATTGTGTTCCTGTTATCTCAGTTAAGCCTCAGATGAGTGAGGAAGACACTGAATGCTGGAGACCAACTTACCCAGGCTTCACACCCACCCCTGTCTAATCCAACACAGCCCCAGGGCCAGCAGCCATGATCTGTAGGAGCCTGACTCACAGATCAGGACCTGCATTCTCACCTGTACCCCCAAATGACCCAGTGCTGTCTGACACTTGGACAGCACAGATAGAAATGCCAGAGTCTGACTTCACATTGGAATCACCAGGGTAGCTGTAAAATAGTGCACACAGCATGTGCCCCAAGGTCCATGGCATTAGAATTTCTGGCATTTTTTATTCTATGGATGATGGTGGCCATTTCACTGCTTTATGCTTCCCTGATGCCTAGGGAAGGCAAGAAACTCCTGCAAAGGGAACTGCCCTTGGAGGGTTCTTCCAGCCGCCAACAACTCTGTGGCTTTAAGAACCGTGGCTGGCATTCTGCCATGAAAGCCACCACCCCAGTACAGGCCTTGCAAGCATTGGCTGCAGGAACTAAGCTGTAGCAGGCAGTGGTGCCCGGGGCTGGCCCAGGCATGTAAATGGAGCCTGAACTGGGCGGAACAAGCCAGTGTGGCAGTGGTGGCAGCAGGCAGCCTCTGATGCTCCCATGAGTTGAAGAAAAAGGATCTTTATGCCTTCCAGAAGGAAGCTCATTCTGCGAGGCTGAGGAAACAAAGGGAAGAATTGTGTGTCACTCTAGTCCAGACGTCTCAAACAAACAGTAAGTCAGCAGGGAACACAACAAAGTTCTCTGCCCTAGGCAACGACCACACACCCCTCCCCACCCTCCCCAGGAGTCCATGGGTTTACAGACACTGCTCCAGGAGGCTGCAGGCCAAAATCAATTCACAGTCTCTCTGCTGGAATCCATCTGGGCCTCCCCTTGGAAAGTCAAGTCTCAGCTCATGACACCTGGGACTATGAGTTGTGGGGATGGTTCTCCTCCCTCCTGGGATGGCCTTTCAAGGCATCTTCCCATCCTTGAGAATTCCAAGAGCACATGAGAGCAAAGAAAGGGAAACTGAAATCATTGGCTTTGGGCAACTTTGGGCTCTGCCAACTTTGGGTCAGAGCCTGCTAGGGAGGAGAGAATGAAGCTCAGGGGTGGCACTAGGGGAGGACAGTCCAGGCCAACACAGACCTAGGATTGTTGGTCAGATCAGCATAGGGCTCAGAGGTCCCTCCCTCTCTGCCTTTGAGGAATGAAAGCTGCAAGTGAGACAAGCATACACTGAAGACAGCTTGCTTCTGTCCCCACTGGGGGAGCCAAGGCTGACTTGGCACAGGTGACTGTGGCAGCATGCTTCAGACCCGTGTGTAGAGTCACCAGGATGGCCATGCCTGTCTGTTGTCTTCTTCCTTTCTGTGTGACTAACCTAGAGGTGGCAATCATCTACCTGACTTCATGGGAATGCATGGAAAAACCACCCATGTGCTGGGCAGGGGTGGGGGTGGGTGGTGGGTGGGGGCAGCAAGTGGAGATTACAGTGTCAGGAAGCAGTGTGCCTCCAATGACTGGCATGGAGGGGAGGGATGGAGTGGTTGCACCTTCTGTCAAAGGATAGGGAATTGAAGCCAGGAGTGAGAAGAGAAGGAGAGCAGCCTCTGCTAGAAGGATGGAGGGAAACTGAGGCAGAAAGACAGCCAGAGTGGAGTTCACTGAAAGCTAAACTGGGCTTGTACATATTTATGGTGAAGAATGTTTGCATTAATTTTCCATTGTTATGACAAAATACTTAGACAAGACTTAAGGAAGAGAAGTTAATTTGGGCGTATGATTTCAAAGGTTTTACTCAGTACATAGTCCTTTGACCTGGCTGAAGCACGTGGTAGAGGAAAGTAGCTCGACTCATAGCAGCCAGGAAGCAAAGAGAAAAAGAGGATGGGCCTAAAGACAAAATTGCCCCTCCTGAGCACCCCCAACCACCAAATTCCTCCAAAGCAATCCTTCTTTCTGTGGTTTCCACCCCCTCCCAAAAGCCCACTGATGAGGTCAGAGCCCACATGATGCCATCCCCTCCAGAAGGCCCCATCCCTGAACACTGCTGCCCTGGGGACCAAACCTCCTATAGTGACCCACTTCCTCACAACCTGAAAGAATCAGTTGTTCCTTCTGGCTTGGGGACTGAATTCTAGGAGGTCAGCTGGTAGCTCTTGACCTGGCATGATGTATACATGTGAGCAAACAAGGAAATTTGGAGACTTTCACAGGCATGTCTGAAAGATCTGCCAACACAGGGCTCCTGGGCTCGCTTGAATCAGGAACCTTTAAATTCCTTGTGCTACACCTGTTTCTGCACCTTCCATGTTCCCATGGATATGGCAGATTTCTGCTGTTCTTGGACTGTCTAAAGAGGATTCTTTTCAATTGAGAACCTCTGTGTGTGTGTGTGAGAGTGTGTGTGTGTGTGTGTGTGTGTGTGCGCGCGCGCGCGCGCGCACATACACATACGCACCTGTAAGCACCCACCAGGTACATAGGTCTGAACCCTTCCAGTTAATTTCCATTAAATCTCCCATCAGTTAAGGATGACAGATGTACAAAGCCAAATGTACCCCTCTCCTTGACAGATTTCACAGCCTTTCTAGGATATCTGCCAAATTGCTAGATGGTATTTGCATTTTTAAAAAATCGAGTGCATTTTGTTATTTGGGTTTTAAGGATTTTCCAGCCTGCCTAAAGACGGTTTATCCCTCGTGCCTCACTTTATAGCTTTTCTTCAACATTCATAAATCCACTTTATCCTTCCATGAGGCCAGTAGCTCAGTTCTTCTCGCATGTTCTTTTGGAGGACACTGACTTATGGAGACACTAAATGACTTTCCATGGTTAGCATCCAGGCACAATTCATTGTACGTGTGCATGTATGTGTCATATGTTTTGTGGAGACCAGGGAATTACTTTGTGGAGTTGGTTCTCTCCTTGCACCTTTCTGTATGTCCTGGGATTGAACTGAGTAGTAGGGCTTGGTTAGCAAGTGTCTTTAACTGCAGAACCCTCTTGCTGGCTCTGAACTGCATCTTTCTGACTGAGTGGGCCTGTACAAAGAGTTGCTCTGAAACACAGTGGATGAGGATACCATCTTATTCCATGATACACGGCTTAGGCTTCAAGTCTGGTACCCAATGATGGCAAGTCATCACTTGGAGTATGGCATCTCCCTGTGCACATCTCCTTCTCTGTAAAATGAGATACAGCCCCCATTTAGGAGGTAGGTGTGGATCAAATGAGATAGCGAGGGTAAACTATTTAGAACAATGCTTGGCACGCGGTGGCTTTCAGTAAATACTGTTCAGCTCTAACTTCATCTGTACTTTGGGGAAAGACATTTTATTAGCCAGGCATAGACTAAGCTGTAACCCAAAGTTCTTAAAAGGGTTTTCTCAGAGGGGCTAGAAGATGATTCATCTTTCACCTAAGGGTTAAGAGGTAGGTGGCAGTCCAGGGAGGATAGCAATGCTGGTCCTCAGGGCCAACCAGGCGCCATGTTCCTTCCACCTTCTGGATCCCTCTTTGCTCACTTTTTCTTCCTTCTGTTCCTGCCTGTGAGAAGAAGGGGAAGGAATAGGGGCGGACAGCCTCCTGAATGATCATTCAGAGGATGGACAGTCCTTTCATATCCCATTGGCCAGCACCTGGCCACATGTCACCACAGGAGAGTCTGAGAAATGTAGACTCCAGCTGTACCAATCAAAGAGGCCCACATAAATCTTAGGGGTTCTCCTTCTAAAAGAAAGAGGGAAGAGTTACGTATTCCATGTCCCTGTAGATGTGTTCCTTGGAACTGAATCTGAAGCTGTTAACCCACCTGGCCTCTGCTTCTTGCAGGCTGGAAGTCTGTTTTAGCTCCAGCATTTTTTTTTTTTTTTTTAGAAAATCTAGGGCTAGCTCTGGGCTTCAGTGTTTGAGGTGAATGCCTCTAACAGCAGTGGGATTACCTCCTATTGGCTGGTCAGGCTGTCCACAGTTGTTCAGCCTGTGCTCTCTGTACCCAGACATCCCAGCAACAGTGGCACTGTGCTCTGTTTGAAGCATGCTTGTTTTTCCTAATGGTGTAGCAACTTCCCTTGTCTCTAGAGAGACACTGTCCTTTGTGATCTTGGATCTCAGGTGGTTGATGAAGAAAGGGTATCCTCTCTGCTGCCTTGGGATCTATCTTTGTCTATGTATAGAGAGGACTTCTCCACATCTCACCAGGGATTCTCTTCAAGCTTCAACAAATGAGGTACTCTGGTTATATAGGTGCCCCCCAATGGTCCCCATGTCAAAGTCTTAGTCACAGGCCCGTGATGACAGTGGGAGATGATGGAGGCTTGAAGAGGTAGGGCCTGGTGGGAGGCAGTTAGGTCATTGAAGGCATCCCTTTGAAGGGAATATTTGGATCTTATCACTCCTCTTGTTCTTTGTCTCCCATCTGCTATGAGGGGAGTGCTTTTTCTGTTGTGTGCTCCTGACACAATGTTCTGTCCCTACTCAGGACTAAAAGCAATCCCTCTGGAACGTTTGGGTATTTGTTACAGTCACAGAAAGCTGATGTGCACCAGCTGGCCTGTCTGCTAGTGAGATGGGCAATAATGAGGGCCCTATCCTCTGTAATTCTAGAGTTTATTCTCCATGCTTACCTGAAATCAGTAAGTCAAGAAAGGGCTTAACTTGGCTCAGTGAAAGAATATGAAGGGATAAATATATCAGTGTTCTGTTCCCCGTATTGTCCAGAACTGACTGGAAATGAACACAAATATCTCAGGAGAGCTTAGCTCAGGGACTTTGCTTTGATGAATACTGTTAACACAGAATGAAGGAAGCATATTTACTGAGCACCAACTATGCACCAGACACACACTAAATGTGTAGTTAAGATATTGGATTGTGAACCTTAGGCCTAATAGAGTTTTTCAGAGACATACATGTCAATCTTCTCATTTCACCCCGATAAGCTCTGCAAAGCATGAGTTTTTCATATTTTATAGACAAAAGAAGGTTAATCTCAGAAAGAATAACAGTGGGGCTGAATTTGAACTACGTGTCTGATCCTTCTACATGCCCCAGCTGTTACCATCATTACCTCATCTGCAGGGGTCACTTTCTTTGTTGAAGATGGAATCTATCTCATATGCAGAATGACAGTGGCCACTCGGCTAAGCACCTGAACTAGTGATGACTGTTCAATGAAGGGGGGGATTTCATATGACTGGGGTGGCCACTTTTCTTCTGTATCCTGCAGCCCCCGCTACCCACTTTTGTCTACTTACCCTTGTATCCAAACCCACCCAGTTGAGCCTGCATCAGGAATGCCTCGGCCCTGCCCCTTCCCCAGGGTGCTAATGACGCTGGAGGAACTTGCTTCACCATGAGTTCTTTGAACTCTCAACAATCTGGTTCTTAAGGCTGCCTAGAAACCCTTCCAGTTGTCCCTAGACAGTTCCCTGCCCCTTGGCATCGCCATTTCCTCCTGATTGTTCTTTTCCCCTCAGTCCTTTCTCAGACCTCATTGTCATTGGTCCAGAATAGATCCTGACCATTGACATACCTGAACAGCACTGAAGCGGTAGGAAATATGAGGTGCCAGGCCCACCCTTACAGTCACTCAACTTCTTTTCTCTTTCTATCTTTCTCATGCTGGGGAGAGGTGTGATCCTGCCCAGGACTGCCCATCTCTCCTGGAATCTCTACCCATTGTGTTTTCTCTCTCTCTCTCTCTCTCTCTCTCTCTCTCTCTC